GTGGTCCCTTAATGTAGAAGGTGCTAAATCTTGTGTTATCCTGATTGTGTTTCCACAATACTTGAATTGTTTCTTTCTGGCTGCTTGCAATACTTTTTCATTCACCTGGAAACTCTGGAATTTGGCTACAATATTCCTAGAAGTTTTCTTTTGAGGATTTCTTTCAGGAGGTGATCAATGGATTCTTTCAATTTCTATTTTGCCCTCTGGTTCTAAAATATCCATGCAGTTTTCCTTGATAATTTCTTGAAAGATGATGTCTAGGCTCTTTTTTTTGATCATGGCTTTCAGATAGTCCAATAATTTTTAAATGATCTTTCCTGGATCTATTTTCCAGGTCAGTTGTTTTTCCAATGAGATATTTTATATTGTTTTCTACTTTTTCATTCTTTTGGTTTTGTTTTACAATGTCTTGATTTCTTATAAAGTCACTAGCTTCCATGTGCTCCATTCTAATTTTTAAGGAAGTATTTTCTTCAGTGAGCTTTTGGACTTCCTTTTCCATTTGGCCAGTTCTGCTTTTAAAGTCATTCTTCTCCTCATTGGCTTTTTGGACCTCTTTTGCCATTTGGGTTAGGCTATTTTTTAAGGTGTTATTTTCTTTAGTATTTTTTGGGGTCTCCTTTAGCAAGCTGTTGACTTGTTTTTCATGATTTTCTTGTATCACTCTCACTTCTCTTTCGAGTTTTTCCTCTACTTCTTTTACTTCTCAAAATCCTTCTTGAGCTCTTCCATGGCCTGGGATCAATTCATATTTTTCTTGGAGGCTTTGGATATAGGAGCTTTGACTTTGTTGTCTTCTTCTGGTTGTATGTTTTGATCTTCTTTGTCACCAAAGAAAGATTCTATGGTCTGACTTTTTTTTTGTGCAGTTTGCTCATGATCCCAGCCAATTACTTGAGTTATAAACTCTTTGTTAAGGTAGAGGTCTGCTTCCATTGTAGAGATTGTACTGTCCCAAGCTTCAGGGGTTTTGTGCAGCAGTTTTTAGAGATACTTCTAAGGAACTGTCAATTTTCAGTTCTTCCAACGTGGTATGATCAAGGGCAAGGTGTTTACTCCTTTCCTGGCCTGTGCTCTGGTCTATGAGTGACCACAAGTGCTCTTTTCTACCTTGGAACTGTGAGGAGGATTCCCTCTCCACCACCACTACAAGCTCCACTATGCCAGCATTCCTCCTCACCCCAGGACTGCTACCCAAAACTGCGACCCAGATCCAAGCACGAGCAAAGCAAGAGAATCCTGCCTCAGCACCAGCAAAGAGATCCCTGCAATCTCCCTCTGATCAGCCACTTGATTCCCTCTCTGTTTATGGGGTGAGCTCCAGAAGCAGCCACCACCCTGGGGCTGCATAGAGACTGGGGCTGGGACTGAGCTTCTCTCTCACTGCAGTTACAGACTTTTCCTACTGACCACCTAAGTTGTCTTTGGCATTTTCGGGTTGAGAAATCTGGAAACTGCCACAGCTGCCTGTGATTCAGCCCCCTGAGGCCTGCTCCAGGTTTGCTGAGGCCTGGTCTCTGCCTGTGCAGCCCACTCTGAACTGTGGCACAATAGACCTTTCTAATCAACCATCCAGGTTGTCTTGGGCTGGAAATTTTTTTCACTCTGTCTTTTTGTGGGTCCTGCTGCTCTAGAATTTGTTTGAGCTATTTTTAACAGATATTTGGAGAGTTTGAGGGAGAGCTCAAGCAAGTCACTGCTTTTACTCCGCCATCTTGGCTCTGCCCCGTTTTTCTTGTTTTGTTTTTGTCTGTGTTTTATTTTGCTTCATGGCTAATATGGAAATGTTTTGCATGACTTCACTTGTATAATTTATGTAAAACTGCCTTCTCAAAGAGGGGTGGGGCAGGAGCGGGGGAAAGAATTTGGAACTCAAAAATTTTTTAAATGAATGTTAAAAATTGTTTTACAAGTAATTGGGAAATATTTAATGAAATGAAAATAAATTAAAAAAAGAAAACCACCTTTTAACATCATTAACTATGTTGTGTTGTATTTTTGTTTATTTTGCTAAACATTACCCAATTACATTATATCTGGTTCTGGTTACACTGGAGTTTTGTAGCAGAGATTTTGACCCTTCTGTTGTAGACTACTCTCTCCTCCTGGATTCATGGCACTGCTCTCTCTTGGTTCTTTTTCCCACTTTGTTGACCACTACTTCTCAGTCTCTATTGATGGACCATCATCCATATGGAGCCCCCTCCCCCCCATATGATTGCAACCCAAAGCTCTGTCCTGGCTCCTCTTATCTTTCTACACTCTTTTTCCTTGACCACATCAGTACTTATGGTTTTGATTATCTCTATGCAGATGACTTACAGGTCTATATATCCAGCCCTTCCAGCCCTCATCTCTCCCTAGAACTTCAGGCTTGCATCTAAGGGACATTTAGAACTGGATATCCAATAGGTATCTCAAACTCAATATAACCAAAACAGAACCCATTGCTCTCCTCCGTTCTTCCAAACTTCCTTGTTTCTGGTGAGAGTGTCACCATCCTTCTGGTCACTTAAGTTTGCAGCCTTGGAATCAACCTCAATGCCTCACTATTGCCCATCCCCCAAATCCAACAGGTAGTGACCAGGACACTTAATTGCCAGGTATTGTCAGTTCTTCTGCATCTCATATCTTCCTACTCCTGCGTTCAGCCCTTTATCACCTGTCACTTGGACTGTTGCAACAACCTCCCTCTTTTAAGCCTTTCTCATCTCCAGTCCATCCTCCACACAGCTGCCAATATGTTTTTCCTAAAGCACAGGTCTGACCATCAGTCCTTTTTGCAGTAAACTCCAGTGACGCCCTGTTATCTCAAAGATCAAAGGTGAACCCCTCTGTTTGGCATTTTAAAGCTGTCACAACCTAGTTCCAGCTACCTTTCCAGTCTTGTTATTTATTACTACCCTTCATACATTCTGTAGTCTTGCCAAAATGTCCCTCTTATTGTTCCTTATCCATGACATTCCATCTCTTACGGCTGGGTCTTTAGGAGCCCAGCTTCTCCCCTATGCCTAGAATGTGCTCCCTCCTAATCTCTGCTTCTAAAATCCCTGGTTCCTTTCAGAGCTCAACTCAAATGATGCTTCAGTATATTGTAAACTCCTTCTCAGCAGGGAATGTTTCCTTTGTGTCATATCCACAGTACTTAGCGTAGTAATTGGCACATAGGTATATGCTGACCAATTGAGCAGAGGATCAGAAGAACCTAAGCTCAAATCTTGACTCTGAAACTTACTACCTGTGTGACCATGGGCAAATTACTTAACTTCCCTGAGCCTCAGTTTTCTCATCTGTAAAATGGGGATAATATCTCACAGGTTTTGTGAGGCTTACATAAGATAGTATTTTTGTTGTTGTGTCATTTGAGTCATATTTGACTCTTCATGACACCTTTTTGGGTTCTCTTGGCAAAGATATTGGAGTGGTTTGCCATTTCCTTAAAGCTATTTTCAAACTTTCAAGCGTCATATAAATGTCAGTTCTTATTAACACAACAAGTTTTTATTAAGCACCTACTGTGTACAGTGGATGGACAGCCACCGTAGTGATCATGAATGACAACATCAGGGGGAAACTCCCTCATACTAACTCTAAATGGGACTTCTCCATCAATCTGTTCCTTAATTCATTCAGCAGACATTTATTAAATATCTTTTACATGCAGTGTCCTCTTCTGGGCTACAGTGTTAGGGGACAAGACATGAATGAGATATCCTGTCTTTACTTCTTCCCTAGGAAAGTAGAGTTTACTTCCATTGTTCTACTCCCCGACTTTTCTCATATTTCATTTACTGGACTGTCAGCCCATTCATTGTACACTGTACAGACAGGAGATTGCCTCTGGCTATTTCCTGGTAACTGTCCATGGTGACCTCAGAATGTCTCAGTCTAGGCTCTGAACCATGGTTGCTGTTTGATGTACAAGGTTGATAAAAACAGGAGGGAAACCAGAATGGGGAAGGCATGAAAGATGATGTCATTCAGTACTGGTGGGCATCTATATACCAGAGAAGGACTTGACAGGCTTCCACGTGGACAAGATTCCAGACATGGCCCTAGAAGGCAGAGATAGGAACAATGGTGAGAGATAGGTGAGGCGAAGAGGGAAGAGCTCTAAAAAGGCAGATTTTGACTTTATATAAGGAAAAACTTCCTAACCATTAGTGTTAATCATGAGGGCAGCAGGCTCCCTCTGGAAATGGTATGTTCCCCATTCCAAGAGGCATTATAGGGTCATAAGATTTAGAACTGGAAGGAGACTTAGAGGTCAACCTCTTCATCTTACAGAAGAAGAAGAAACTGAAACCCAGGTGCCCAAAACCACACAGATTACTTAGTAGAAGAGCCAGGATTCAAAGCTAGGTTCACTTTCCACTGTCCCTTTGTACCACAGAGGTTAAGATGAACTCTCTTTGGGACTGTGGTAGGGATTCCTATTCAGGTGTGAACTTTGATGAGATGACTGTTGCATCTCCTTCTAGCTCTGAGGGTTGGAAGGGGGTGAGGTTCCTGTTTTTCTGTGATTCTTCTGTGCTGTGGGGCCTGTAGGTGTAGCCAATAATGATCCTCCTTTAGCCAGAGTTTACCCACTGACCTCTCTGACTCAACTTTCCATCCTAGAGGTGGTACTGTGGCTGCAGGTGGTATGACCTCTTTCTAGTCACCCTGAGGAGAGCTCATCCCCACAAGGGTAGCCATGCAGCCCAGAAAGAGCAGGTGTTTTAAGATCAGTTCAAATACAATCCAGTCTGTGTCTCTAGCAGGGCCTGGACAGACCGATTGAAGAGTGTCTAAGAGCAAGGATAGCCAGGGACTCCATGAAGGTTGAATTCTGTCTCTCCTGTCACACGAGAGGCTCTTTGAAGACCAGGCCATATCTCCCCATCTCTCAGAATATCACAGTAGGGCTGAGTGGAAAAGTCAGTCCCTGGTTTCTTTGCCTTCCAAACCCTGTAACCTCCTGGTCCTCTGACACTGTGTTTTTTTCTCTCTAGTAGATGCCTCCACTGATCCAGTTTCCGGGTTACATCCCCAATTCAGTGGCAATACAGCAACTATGGCCAAAGACAGAGTTGAAGGGAGTTGGGCAAGTTATCGATCTGAAGTCTGAAAGCTTTGAAATCCTGGAGGTATGGAGACAGATGGTTCTTAACTCTGTGAACCTCAACCTGGTAAAATATTTCCATGACTTCCATCTTTTTCATCACCCCAACTGTGAGACTGCATCCTTCCAGTGACCACTACCCCTGTGACCTTTCTTCCCTGTGTACCTCATCCTTTCCTTTGATTCCCATCCTCAAAACCCTATCCATTACCTCCCATCCCTTTGACTCCTATGGCCACAATCTCTACGCCTTCCCTTCCTGTGACCCTCATTCCTCAAACTCCTATCCCAATGAGGCTGATCAGATTTGGAGATGGCACCAAGCTAGAAGGGATAGCTAACACCTTGGATGACAGGCAAGAGGCAGAAAGATCTTGACAGCTAAAGCATTGAGCTGAATCAAATAAAACAAAATTCACTTAGGTTAAGTGTAAAGTCTTAAATTTAAAAAAAAATCACCTTTGCAATTTCAAGCTAGAGGAGGCATAGACAGCAATTTGTGTAGAAAAGATCTGAGTTTTAGTGCTTCACAAGCTCAGTGTGGATCGCCATACTGATGTGACTGACAAAAAAAAGTGATCTTGGGTTTCAGTAATAGAGGCAAAGCTTAAGGAGGTGATAGTCCCATTGGCCTCTGTCCTGTTAGACCACAACTGGAGTATTATGTTTATTTCTGGGTACCAGTTTAGGAAGGATATTGATAAATGGAAGAGTACTTAGAGGAGAGTAACCAGGATTGTGAGTCCATGGTGGAAGAAACTTGGACATTTAGCCTGAAGAAGAGAAGACTTGGGGAAGTGGGAAGTGAGAGGAATGTCATACCTGTATTCAAGTATTTTTGGAGAACTATTGTGGAAGTGGAATGAGATGGTTAGCTGCCAGGATCTCACCCCATCTGTGTGAGTCCACAGGGCTTCTGGCGTCCTTGGGCCATGGGTTACAAATGTATTCTGTTTGGTCCCAGAGAGCAGAACTTGAAGAAATGTATAATGATGTGAGAGAGAAGCAAAACAAAACAACCTCCTCGAGATTAGAGCTGTCCAAAAATGGAATGGCTTGCCTGTAGGAGTGGTGGGTTCCTCTATACTTAGAGGTCTTTGGGCAGCAGTTGGATAGCCACTTGTCAGATATGCTGTGGTGGGGATTCCTTTTGGGTTGGGTAGAGGGCCCCTCAAGTCCCTTCTGAATCTCATATTTCTGTCATCATAAGATGCTAGGATGTTGTATTTTTTCTTCCCTTCCCCCCTGTTCCCAATTAGAATGTAAAATCCTTGAGAGTAGGGACTTTTTCATTTTTTCTTTTGATTTCATTTTCTTTTTCATTTTTCTCAGCACATAATGCTTTACAAACAGACAGACTAATTGGATTAGATCCATCATCCCCATCACCCTCAACCCCTGTGACCCCCCTTCCTTGTGATTCTACCCTCTTTCCAACTATCATTGTTATCTTTCTCATTCCTTTCAACCCTGTCCCTGAAACCATTCATTCCCTTGATCCTGATCAATGCTATCTTAGCACCCCAATTTCTCTCAAATCCATTTGTGTGCTTCTCCCATTCCTATAATCTCCTATACTTCTAGTCACCATTATTATGACCTTCCTGCCCTTGTGACTCTCCCTCCCCTTTTCCTATGACCCCTCCATTCCTGAACCTATCTCTTCCTCATAAGTGATTCATCTATGTTCTCCTGTCTGTGATCAGTATGAGATGGACACAATGTGGCTTCCATGGGGCACAAGTAAGAAGAAAGAGAAAGCCTGGTTGAAGAAAGCCTTGGGTTTGCAACCCAGCTTGATCCAGGATACTATGCCTCAGTCAGATTCAAGCTTTGTGCAACAGGAAATCTTCCCTGTAGGTGGCTAGACACATATTTTTCAGTTTAGTCAGACCTAGGATCCTGCCCTACCCCTTTGGAACCCTCAGGACCCTCTCCCCAACTTCCTAGATACTCCTAGACAGCCCCTGGGACCCATAGGACGTCCTCCTGGGACCCTTAGACAGCCCCTGGGACCCACAGCACCTCCCTCTGGGACCCTTAGACAGCTTCTGGGACTCCCTCCAGACCTGCTCTTAGAGCTTCTCAACCCCTTCCAGGAACTTCTATCCCTCTGAGACCTCCAGATTTAGCCCCCAACACCCCCCATAAGATACTACATGTGTCTCCTAGATCCACCCGCAGATCCTCCTTCTAAGTCCTCCTAGTCATCTTCCTGATGTACCCCACCCCTTGTCTCCTTGGAGTCCCACACATTAGAGGAGATCCTATGGAACGGAACCCACTTATCACTTGGTGCCTTTCATAGAGACTAGGAATTAGACCAGATAACTTTCCCTGTGATCCTAGGAAGGTGTTGTCTCTGAAAAGCTTCATGAAAAAGAGAGTGAGAAGGAACATGAGAAGAAACAGATGCTGCCTGAGATTACTGTGACTCCAGAATTACGCTCCCAATTAGAAGAATTCCTCAGCTCCATAGATGCTTCTGAAACATGGGACCTTGACTCAACCTATGTTTCTGATAAGGGCACTCATCCTCTACTTGAATTTCTCATCTCTTTGTTGAATAAAGTGTGGTTCCAGAAATATTTGCATGATTTCAACCTTGAGGTAAATGGCAGGGGGTGGCATGCAGGAGAGAAAAAAAGTGTTCTTTACCCCTTTCCCAAGTCTTGTCTCTGACCTGATCCTAGCCCCCTGACTCTCCTTCTCCACCCCAACAAATCTTGTATAAGTTCTTGGAATCTTTAACCTTCTGATATAACTAGGACCCCCTGAACCTTTCCAACCTCATGGTACAACTCCCTCCCCAAGTCTAATAATCTCTAATGTTATAGTGTAATATGTAACATCCCCATGTCTACTAACCTTGTGGTACAGTCCCAAGAAAGTGAAATGCCCTTCAGTCTAATGGCATGGAGCTGGTACTCCCTACCCCATTGCCTCTAATCTCCTCATATGATGCCTAACTTTCCCCAATCTTGTGGTATAGTTGAGGATCCCTGATATAACCTGTAATCACATGAGGCCTCAGGATACCTAATGTGCTCTAAACTTACCCTCTATCCCCCTTCTGCTCCCATATCCCCTTTACCCAATGCACAAAGAACCAAAAAACCTTGGAATCAGTGCATTGTTCCTTTTTTCCCCACAGGCTTCCAGCCTAGGCCCTATCTGCTTTCCTTATCCATCCTAATTCTGTCTCTTAAGACCCTGGGTTTCTCCTCTTCCAGGTGCCCTACAGAAACAGATTACATGCTCCCAGTATGTTTTCCCCAAACTCCTAGAGGTCACCACATGACCCTCTATGGTTAGGGGCTTCTAAGGGAAGCATGGTGAATGATGGAAAGACCCCTGGGCCTAGAACTGGGAGAGATCTAGGTTAGAATTCTGGCTTCAGCACTTACTTATAAGCCATTTGACCCTAGGCAAGCCATTTCCTCTCTCTGAGTTCAGTTTTCCTCTTCCAGAAAATGGGGTAATCAATAATATGTGCACTACCCGTCTAACAGAGTTGCAATAAGGAAACTTGGAAGATATTGAGGGTTTCAGTGCTTATAAGGGCAGGGTAGGACAGGAAGCTAGAACATAGAAGATAAGAGAAAATTATCAATCATCTGCTACTAATATTTAGACCAGATTACCCCTCTATGATCCTAGGAGATTATTGTCTCTGAAGGGCTTCGTGAGAAGGCATCACATGAGATGCAACGACTGAAAAAACAAGAGAAGGAACAGTTGGTGCCTGAGGTTACTATGACTCCAGAATTCCTTTCCCAATTAGAATGCCTCTTTAGCTCCCTAAATGGTGATAGATCCTTCCAGGGCTTCCTTGTCCCCTGACTTGTGTCTTTGAAGCTGAACCTGGCAGGGAGTGGGACCCAGGCACATGGTGCTGGGTCTTTGGGGACCCAAAGGGCTAAGGTCATGCTTGGGATTCTAGTCGTGGCCCCCAAATCCTCCCTCAGCCCCTGTTCTCTTGCCACTACTTCAAAGACATACCAAGAGTGCCGCACAGGGGAGGATCTGGCCACAATACTGCTAAAGGCTTTGATGGAAAGACCCCTGGACCTAGAATTAGTCTGGCTTCATTACAAGCTATTTGACCCTAGCAAAGTCATTTCTCCTCTCTGAGGTCAGTTTTCATTTTCCAGAACATGGGGGTAATCAATAATATGTGCACTACCAACCTCACAGAGTTGCTGTGAGGAAAGTGCCTAGTAAAACTTACAGCAATAGAGAATTGGGAGCCATTGAGGGTATCAGTGCTTGTAAGGGCAGGGTAGAAGAGGAACATAGAACATAGAAGATAAGAGAGAGTTATCAAGCATCTGCTACTAATATTTAGACCAGACTACCTTCCCTGTGATCCTAGGAAGTTATTGTCCCTGAAGGGCTTCGTGAGAAGGAACGTGAGAAGGAACAAGAGAAGGAACAAGAGAAGGAACACTTGGTGCCTAAGGTTACTATGACTCCAGAATTCCTTTCCCAATTAGAATGCCTCTTTAGCTTCCTAAGTGGTGACAGATCCTCCCAGGGCTTCCTTGTCCCCTGCCTTGTGTCTTGAAGCTGAACCTGGCAGGGAGTGGGACCCAGGCCCATAGAGCTACGGGTGCTGGGTCTTTGGGGATGCAAAGGGCTAAGGTCATGCTTGGGTTTCTAGTCGTGGCCCCCAAATCCTCCCTCAGCCCCTGTTCTCTTGCCACTACTTCAAAGACATACCAAGAGTGCCGCACAGGGGAGGGTCTGGGCACAATACTGCTAAAGGCTTTGATGGAAAGACCCCTGGACCTAGAATTAGACTGGCTTCATTACAAGCCATTTGACCCTAGCAAAGACATTTCTCCTCTCTGAGGTCAGTTTTCATTTTCCAGAACATGGGGGTAATCAATAATATGTGCACTACCCATCTCACAGAATTGCTATGAAAAAAGTGCCTAGTAAAACTTACAGCAATAGACAATTGGGAGCCATTGAGGGTTTCAGTGCTTATAAGGGCAGGGTAGGAGAGGAACATAGAACATAGAAGATAAGAGAGAGTTATCAAGCATCTGCTACTAATATTTAGACCAGACTACCTTCCCTGTGATCCTAGGAGGTTATTGTCCCTGAAGGGCTTCGTGAGAAGGAACGTGAGAAGGAACAAGAGAAGGAACACTTGGTGCCTAAGGTTACTATGACTCCAGAATTCCTTTCCCAATTCGAATGCCTCTTTAGCTCCCTAAGTGGTGACAAATTCTACCAGGCTTCCTTGTCCCCTGTCTTGTGTCTTGAAGCTGAACCTGGCAAGAAGTGGGACCCAGGCCCATGGAGCTACTGGTGCTGGGTCTTTGGGGACCCAAAGGGCTAAGGTCATGCTTGGGATTCTAGTCCTGGCCCCCAAATCCTCCCTCAGCCCCTGTTTTCTTGCCACTACTTCAAAGGCATGCCAAGAGTGCTGCACAGGGGAAGGTCTGGCCACAGTATTGCTGAAGGCTTTGATGGAAAGACCCCTGGGCCTAGAACTGGGAGAGACCTAGGTTAGAATTCTGGCTTCAGCACTTGCTTATAAACCATTTGACCCTAGCAAAGACATTTCTCTTCTCTGAGTTCAGTTTTCCTCTTCCAGAAAATGGGGGTAATCAATAATATGTGCACTACCCATCTCACAGAATTGCTATGAAAAAAGTGCCTAGTAAAACTTACAGCAATAGAGAATTGGGAGCCATTGAGGGTTTCAGTGCTTATAAGGGCAGGGTAGGAGAGGAAGGTAGAACACAGAAGATAAGAGAGAGTTATCAAGCATCTGCTACTAATATTTAAACCAGACTACCTTCCCTGTGATCCTAGGAGGTTATTGTCCCTGAAGGACTTCGTGAGAAGGAGCGTGAGATTCAACGAGAGAGGGAAGGAAAGAAGGCACAGTCGTTGTATGAGGTTACCATGACGCCAGAATTCCTTTCCCAATTAGAATACCTCATTAGCTCCCCAGATGCTGATATGTGTTCCCAAGTTTCCTTGTCTCCTTCTCTGTGTCTTGAAGCTAAATCTGGCTGGAAGTGGGACTGGACACATAGAGTTACTGTCTTTGGGGACCCAAAGGGCTAAGGTTTCTGGATTTCTTCTGGGTTTCTTGGGTTTTTGGTCCTGGCCCCCCTGTATTCTTCCTCAGCCCCTGTTCTCTTGTTACTACTACAAAGGCATATCCAGAATGCTTCACAGTGGAGGGTGTGGCTATATTGCTGCTGAAGGTCCTGGAGCGAGCCACCTGGGAGGATGGCACCGAGGCTATGATGGTGCTCACAGAGATGATGCCCTGGCTGGGAAATGAATTCCAAAAGAGGCTGCAACACTTGCTGTTGAAACTTCTCAACAAAGACCCTCCCCCAAACCTTGTGGTATGGCCCCAGACCACGCCCCTCCCCGCCAAGCTCCAGACTTTATATTCAAGCTAGGGGAGCACTCCTTAGTCGACTTTAGTTACTTCCAACATATCCCCAGCCTTGAGCTGGTAATACAGCCCTGGGCCCCCCAGTTCCCCTGACCTCATGATATGGCCTATTGTTGTTTGTTGTTTAGTTGTTTTCAGTAGTGTCCGACTTTTCCTGACCCTATTTGGGGTTTTCTTGGCAAAGATACTGGAGTGGTTTGCCATTTCCTTCTCTAGCTCATTTTATACAGATGAGGAAACTGAGGCAAACAGGGTTAAGTGACTTGTCCAAGGTCACACAGCTAGTGTCTGAGGCCAGATTTGAACTCAGGACTTCCTGGTATGGCCTATATGGCTTCTTTTTCCTGCCTGCTTGAGCTCCTGAAATAGCCCTGAAACTTCAGGCATCCCAGAACTTCCCTCCCCTTCACCTTCCAAACCTGTAACTCCAAAGCCCTGGAGAGTCCCCATCGCTAACAACAAATTTCCAAAAACTTGGCACCTTCAAGCCCTAGGAAACCCTTAGTCCCAATGATGATGCCCCCTAGGGCCCCTCAAGTCTAAGGACTGACCATGGAATGGCTGGGATAAACCTGGTTATGTAGACACTGACTCAACCCCAACCTTGGAGTCCCCAGGACAAGATAGAGAAGAAATTTGTGATGACAGCCCTGAAGGTGCTCATGATTGTTTCCCTGGGCTCTCGGGACATGGTCCTGGAACTTATGTCCTACTTCCTCTACTCACCCCCTCGGTGCAGGTGAGATACTCCCACCCACCCCCACCACAGAGGTGGGACCACTCTGGGACAACAGTGAAAACCCCTTGGGACAGAGGTGAGATCCACCCCACACACACAGGTGTGATCTCTCCTGAGAGATGAGGGTGACCTTGCTGAGAAATAGGTGAGAGCTACCACACCCACAGGTAAAACACGAAAAGGCAAGAATTCCCCACACAAATGAGCAAGCCAACCCCACCCCCGACTTACCCAAGTGCACGTGAGACCCCACCACCCCCTGAGCACAAGTGAAACCACATGTGAGTCCCCCCCTACCCAGGAGACACCTCACCCAGCTAAGGCTTCACTCATGAATGGAATCCACATTCAAGTGAGACACAAAGATAAGTCCCTACAATTTAGTTGGGGAAGCATTTATTTACTGCCTGTTCTGTGTCAGGCTGTGCTAAGTGCTGGGTGTGCAAAGCCAAAAATGAAAAACATCTCCTGCCTTCAAGCAGCTTACGATAGAACAAGGAAACAGATAACTATGCACAGGATAATTATAACACTATCAATGGGGGGAACAGAAGACTTCATAAAGGAGGTGGAACTGTGAAAGAAGCTGAGAAAGCAGAAGCGAGGAAGGGCAGTATTCCGGGTGTGGGATGGGGTATGGGGGGCGGGGGCAGACTTAGAAGCTGGAGCCTGAATGCTGAGTTCCAGGAGGCAAGTAGGCCAGTTTGGCTAAAATGTAGAGAGTATGTAAAATCAGTCTGGAAAGGCAGGCGGGAACCAGGGTAAAGGGCTTTAAGAACTAAGTTGAGGCATTTGTATTTTATCCTAGAAGCAATAGGCAATGACAAATGTTTACTACATAGTTTGCAAAGCATTTTCAACATATTATTTCATTTAATACCCACACCAACCCTATGAAGCAGGCGCTATTATTGTTCCCATTTTACAAGTGAGGAAACTGAGGCTAAGAGAGGTTTAATGACTTCCCCAGGGATACACAGCCGTAAGTGTCCAGCTCAGGCCTTCCTGTCTCCAAGTACAGCACTCTATACTCTGTGACATCCGAAGAGTCTTGGACAGGGGAATTTCATGGTTAAAACTGTGTTTTGAACAGATTGTTTTGTCAGTTGTGAATTGAGGAGGGGAGAGACTGGAAGCAGGGAGTCTAATTAGAAGAACATTGTAATGTTCCATATGATGGATGATGAGGGCCTGAATTAGAACGGTGACAATGTAAGTGGAGACAAGGGGACAGAGATGAGAGATGCAGTTAGAATCAGTAAGACGAGGTAAGTGATTGAATAAGGGATGCTTGAGAGGAAGATGCTGAAGATGATTCTGAGGTGGTAAATCTGGGGGACTTGAAGAGGCCCTGGAAAAAAATAAGGAAATCTGGAAGAGCAAGAGATTTAAGGAACTGGGACCGTTTTGGGGTTTTTGGTAAGGGTTTAATAAGTGCTTGCTGATTGATTATGGAGGGAAGATAATGAGTCTTGTTTTACGCATAATTGAGTCAGAGGTGTCTAAGGGCATTCAGAGAGAGTTGATGATGAGGGTGTAGAGTCTGAAAGATGAGGGTTATATTCTAGCCAGCGACACCAGCTATTTGCATACCCTTGACCAAAGATTAATTACAGCTCTATAGGAAAGGTCTCCCTTTTCGACGGAGCTTGAAACTTTGGGAGGAATATACAAGGAGTGGTGAGAGAGAGAGGGGACACCCACCTAGCCAGTCAGATTCGCCAAATCAACCCTGGCCATTAGTGGAATGACAGATAGACCTAGGAATCATCTACATAGGGTCGGACATGTAATTCATAGTATTGAAGAGATTACCAAGACAGAGGATCTAAAGAGAATAGAAGAAGGCTCAGAACAGAGCCTTAACACAGGTAAGACCCTCACCCACTCACCCACCCAAATGACACCTCCCACACACTTGAAACAGCTTGTATTCTAAAAAGATGTGTAGACAACGGAAGCAAGGATGGATGACAGCCAGTGAATACAAAGGTAAGGGACAATCCTATAAGAATAGTATCAAAATAGACTAAGAAAATTTTGACTAAATGTCCATACCCCTTGACCCAGAGATTCCACTGCTAGGCACATACTCCAGGGAGGTCAGCAGTAAAAAAGAAAGACTTCATATATACCAAATATTTATAGCACCACTGTTTGTAGTGACAAAGAACTAAAAACAAAGTTGTTTCTGCCCATTGATTGGGGAATGACTAAACAAGTTATAATGGAGTATTATGGTGCTGTAAGAAATAGTGCATACGATGAGTTCAGAGAAGCATGGGAAGACTTACGTGAACTGATACAGAGTGAAGTTAGCAGAACAAGGAAAACAATATATACACAAGGACTGCCACAGTGTAAATGGAAAGAACAACTGAAAAAGCAATTGCAACTAAATGCTATGAAATAATGAACAAGTGTGGCTTTAAAGAAGAACCATGATAGAAGAGACATGGCTCCATCTTTGGAGAAGTGGGGATCAGATTTTTTTCCATGTTTTGGTTAGTTTTGCTGAACTGTGGTATTTTTTCTTATTTTTTTTTAACCCTTTGTTATAAGGGATGGCTCTCCAGGATAGAAGGGAGGAGGAATATCAAATGTAGTTGATGTTAAAATTAAAGGATAAAAAAATGATTAAAAAACTCAATAAAATTAGTATCAGGAGAGCTAAAGCTCAGGAAAAGCTGGGGCTGGTGAGAGAAGCTAGGGACGAGCTTTAAAAAGAGGGGGTTTTCAAATAGCTATGTTGGTAAAGAGAGGCAGTTCAAAGAAGGACTAAGAATGGAGCTTTTCATTGATATCACAGTGACATCTGAAACAGAGAAAAGGCACAGAGCTAGCCAATGTTTATATTGCTTCTATTCCTTTTACCAAGGAAAGTGATCTTTTGACTCCAAAGGAAAGAACAAATATGGAGAATAGGGAGTTGATACTCAAGATCAGTAAGGAGACAGCAAAAGAACCCATAGATTCCCCTGATGACTTCAAGTCACTGGGTCCAAATGAACGACATACAAGAGTACTTTGAAAGAATTGACAAGAGTGATTACCAGGCTATTGTCAGTAATCTCTGAAAGATCATGGGAGATGGGAGAGGTACCTCCAAGATTAGTGAAATGTCCTGATTTTCAAGAAAAGGGGAGATAATGGAGTCTGCAAACTATAGAACAGTGAGCTTCATTTGAACTCCTGGCTAGAATTTGAGGGTGTATTATTAAAGGAATGGTTAGTGAACTTCTGAAAAGGAAGCAATAATCAAAAAGATGCAGCATAAGAACATGTCATTCCAGGCTAACATAATTTTCCTTTTTTGGCACGGTTACTGAAATATTAGGGGTATGGCTGTAGATATAGTTTACTTAGATTTTAACAAGCATTTATTAAGCATCTATTATGTGCCAGGTGATTTTAAAATATCTCATTTTATTCTCAAAACAACCTTGTCTCCATTTTACAGTTGAAGAAACTGAGGCAGACAGAGGCTAAATGACTTGCCCAGGGTCACACAGCTATTAAGTGTCAGAGGGCAGATTTGACCTCAGGTCTCCCTGACTCCAGACCCAATACTCTATCCACTGTGCCACCTTGCTGCCTCTTTAGAGGCCTTCAAGCTGAAGCTGGATTAACACCATTGGGTATTTTATGGATCAAAACCCATACACAGAGGTGGACTACACACACATACACACACACACACACACACACACACACGCACACGCACACGCACACACACATTGGTCAAACCTCACACACACACATTGATCAAACCTCACACACTTAAGCAAGACTTCTTACACACAGGTAACAGTCACAAACTCATAGGTGAGACCATATACACTTAGGTAAGACCATACACTCAGGTGTGAACACACATACCACATTCACACAAAGGTGAGACCATGCACACACGTGCACGAGCACACATACATACACACATATACAAACACCGTGAGACATGCTTTACTGTAAGCCTACAGATGATACTGCCTCTACCTCAACTCTCTTCTCCCCCTGACTCCCTAGACCTATGCTGAAGAAACTACTAGAAGAATTGGGCCTGAAGGACCCCCATAATTTCCTGTTCAAGGAAATGGTGACCTGGGCAGAAGGGAAAGATTTAACTAACAAGGCAGCCCTGAGAGGGCGCTGTGGACAGAAACTGGAACTTATGATCAAAAACCTTCAGGTTAGTCAGGGAGGGAAGGAGAGAGGGAAGGAGCAAGGGTGCTGGGGGGAGGAAGAAAGTGATGGGAGTTGGGAAGAGTGTTTTTTTAAAAAAATTTAATATTTTATTTTTTCCCAATTACATGTAAAAACAGTTTTTAACCTTCATTTTTTTTACAATTTTGAGTTCCAAATTCTCTCCCACTCTCCCTCCCTTCCCCCATCATTGAGAAGGCAAGCAATTTGATAAAGGTGATACATGTGCAATCATACAAAACATATTTCCATATTAATCACGTCATGAAAGAAAGCAGAAAAAAAACTAAAGAAAATAAAGTAAAAAAAAAACAAAACCCCAGCATGCTTCAATCCGCATTCAGATTCCATCAGTTATTTCTCTGAAGGTGGACAGCATTGTTCATCATAGGTACTTCAGAATTGTCTTGGTTCTTTGTATTGCTGGGAATAGCTAAGTGATTCACAGTTGACCATTGTACATATTGCTGTTACTGTGTACAATGTTCTCCTGGTTCTGCTCATTTCATTTTGTATCAATTCATACAGGTCTTTCCAGGTTTTTCTGAAAGCATCCTGCTCATCATTTCTTATAACACAATAGTATTCCATCACAATCATGCACCACAACTTGTTCAGCTATTCCCCAATTGATAGGCATGAAGGGTGCTTTTTGGAGAAAAGTGGGGAAGGTCTGTGAGCAGTTCCAGCCCTTCTGACCTGCCACCCTCTCTTTAGACCCACTTGAAACAAGATCTCCTAATGCCTACTTGGAAGGAGTATGAGGAGGTAAATGAGAAACAGTATGTATGCATAACCCCTTCTTCAACCTCCTGCCACATCCCCTTCCTTACAAGAGAGAGACATGCCCCACTCTGGCTCACCCCCTTCCCATCTCCATTCCTCCAACTCCAATCCCCACTACCCCTTTGCTCTTGGTTCCCCCCAATGTCTTGTTTTCTTGCTTTAGGCCCTAATTCTCCATCTCCTTATCCATTTCCCTCCAATCCAGTCCTCTCCCTTCATCTAACCATCTTCTTGTGCCCATATCCCTAATGTCTCCTCTCATCTGCTCCCCAGCTCCACAATTTCCTAATCCCCTGTCCCCGTGCTCCCAATATTCCCCTATCTCTACCTTTGTGCAGCAGTTCCTTAGCCTCCTTCTCCATTGCTTCTAGTCCATTCCCTGACCCCTAATCCCTTGATTCCCCCTTTCAACCATCCCCTAATTTCCAACCCTCCTGCCTGGTGATTCCTCCTGTCTCCATGCCCCCATTCTCTCATTACCTTGCCATTGTAACCCCAATGACTCCATCTACCCAGCCTCAGAACCCAGTCTTCCTGCCCCTTAACTACAGTGTTGCTATCTCCCTGCCTCCATACTTCTAATCCTGTTCCCTACCCCATGCTCCTATTTCCCTCTCCCCTACACTCATACTCCAAATCCACTGTCTCCCTGCTCTTGTGTCCTTAATCTGACATCCCTGGTTCCTAGGCTCCACATCTTTGATCTCCCTGTACCTTTATCCCTTTCCCTCATTCCCCCAACTCTCCATTCCCCTGCCTCTGTGTCTCCATTATTTCTGTTTTCTTGCCTCTAAACCCCCAATGCTCCATCTCCCTATCCTTTTATTCCAATTATCCTGTCTCCTGCCTCAAGACCTCCAACCCTCCATCTCTGTGACCTGGTACCCTTGATCCCCATCTCTAACTTCCTAGACCCAATATCCCCCTTCTCCCTGTCCCTGTATCCCCAATATGCTATTTTCTTCCCCCATTCCTCAAACTCTCTGTTTCTCTATCCCAGTGTCTCCACTTGTTCCTTTTGCCTCCCTGCCACTAGATCCTCAATCCCTGCCCCCTCACCTGATACTCCTCATGGCAGCACTCCTTGCCTCAGGATCCTTTATAACCCAGTATTCTTACCCCTGAGCCCTGGTGTTCCCATCCCGTCTGTACATCCCTCAATCCCCCATCTCTTGCTGTTATGGCCTCACTAAGTCCTAGGCCCAAAATGCCTCATACACCCAGTCTTATAACTGCATTATGCAATTCTCCTCCTCTCCCCACCTCCATTGCCTCCATATCCTCAATCCCTCCATACCCTTGGTTGCCTTGACATTGTAGTTCCAGCGTCACCACCCCTTATCTCTGGTCACCTGATACTAAGGTTCACCCCCCCTCCTCATCTCCTTTCTTCTACACCTCCAGTTCCTTGCCCCAAAGCCCTCAATGTTCCCATCTCTTTGCCTCCTTGTTCTAATCCTATCCTCTCTCTCTTTCCCCAAATCTCCATCTTTCTTCAATCTATGATCTCTGGGACCTATATCGCCAGTGCCCCATCCATTTACCCCCAATATGCCATATCCTTTCCCTAATTTTCCCAACTCCTCATTTCCCTTCCCATTTCTCAACTGTCCCCAGTCCCTCAGTATCTCCACTATGCCCTCTATATTCCCACTCCATTCATACCCCTACCTTTGTATCACTAAGATCGGCCCCACTATAAAATTTCCCTGCCCCTAGGTCCCCATTTTTCCATCCAGCTGCCTCCATACCCTCACTCTCCCATACCCCTGAACCCTTATCACTATTATCCCCTCCTCTGTCTCTATACCCTGAATCCCCTTTCTTCTTTTCTTTGTATCCTTAATCCCTATACTCCAACTTCTATCCCTCCATTCTCCCCATTCCTCTGTCCCTATACTACCAATTGACCATGTTCCATGCCCCAACTCCCAATTCCCTTGTCCCAATACCCCAATCTTCCCAAATCCCTACCCTTAATGCCTTCAGTCCCTAACCCCTAGATCCTATGCTCTGAATCCTTCCATTCCCATGTCTCTCTGCCCCCAAGATACCATGCCCCTGCCTCTATGTCCCCAACTCTAGTGTCTCCACTGACCTCATCCCCTTGTCCCATAACCCAACACCCTTATCTCCCTGCCCTTGTGTCCCAAATGGTACCACTCTCTTTCCCCATGCACCTAATATCGAATCTGCTAGTTCCTGATTCCCCAACATTCTTCTTCTTCATCCTTATGTCTCCACTATCCCCAATACCCTAGGGTCTCCACTGCCACCAGCTCCTAAACCTCCCAATTCTTTATTCCCTGTATACCAAGATCCTTCCCTCATGTCCCCATTCCCCATCCCTCTGCCTGTTTTCATAATTTCCAATCCCCCTCCCTCCCAGGGAGTCTCCAAAACCTTCATTTACACAATCCCCTTATAACCATGCCATGTACCCCAAACCTCTCTACCTTTCATCCCCTGGACCTCCAATACCCAATTTCCCTGTCCCTGAGCCCCCAATGTTACTGTTCTCCTGCTCCCATCCCCCTAATCCTCCATTTCCCTGTCCTATTGTTCCTGTCATCCTCTTCTTAGCCTCCATATCCCAAATCCCCTATGTCTCTGTCCTCAATCTGTTCCCTAGCTCCTATGTCCCTGTGTCCCTATTCCCTCATCTCCCCAATCTCCCTGCCCCCGTGTTTCTACTGTCCCCATTCCTCCATTGTCTTCAGTGCCTCCACACCCTCAATCTCCTGTCTCCCTGCTCTTTGCCTTCAGTCCTCAGTTCTCAAGTCCTAGCCTCCCAAACCTCTTCCCCACCTCATGTCCACAATATACCACACCTTTCCTTCCATCCCAGTTCACAATTTCTCATCACCTTTGCCCATGGGTCTCCTCTGTCCTCATTCCTCTGCTTTTATTCCCCTCAAATCTTCCAGTCCCCTTGACCCCAAATTCTCAATTTTCCACTTATCCCCTGGCCACCAATTTTAAGCTAACCACTTTTGTACCCTCAGTGTCACTGTCCCTGTTCCTCAATCCCCTTTCCACTTTCCCTATTCCCCTAATCCCCAAACCCAGTCACACCCCCTGCCCCAATACCCTTTTCTCATGTGTCTTCATGCCCCTCTCCTCCCCCAAACCCCCAATTCCCTTGACTCCATACTCCCAGCATCCCTTTGCCCTGCCTCTGTAGGCAGTCCTACCCCCAAGTTCTTCATGCTCCATGCTCCATTTCTCATCCTCTGTATTCCTGATTCTCTTGTCTTGCTATCTCTCTGCCTTCTCTGTCCTCCCCAGGCTTTCTCTCCTTTCCTTCCTCTAATGACGTGCTCCCTTCCACTAGTAGTGCTTGCCTTTTCCCTCTACAGATTTCTGTCAGTCCCCAGGAGCATCGAAGTCGGGAAAGCCTCTCTCCGGTCTTGCCTACAACCAAGACTGAGCTCCCCTACTTCAAGTTCCCACAACCTCCCACCCCCGCCTCCTCTGCAAAGTACAGGACCATTTTCCGATTAAGACCCAAGTATCCCCCCCAGCATTCCCTCAAGTCTCTCAAGCATTCCCCCAAGCGTCCCCCCAAGCTTTCTCCCAAGCATTCTCCCAAGCGTCCCCCCAAGCTCTCTCCCAAGCATTCCCCCAAGCTTTCTCCCAAACATTCCCCCAAGCTTTCTCCCAAACATCCCCCCAAACTTTCCCCCAAGCTTTCCACCAAACTTTCCTCCAAGCTTTCCTCCAAGCTTTCCTCCAAGCTTTCCTCCAAGCTTTCCACCAAGCTTTCCCCCAAGCTTTCTCCCAAGCATTCCTTCAAGCTCTCTCCTGATTTATCCACTGCAACTCCCTTCTCCCTCTCTCCTCATTCTGGGCGAAGCCCCAGCGAGACAGTCCTCAGCCCCGAAATCTCACCACCCTCAGAGACTAGGACTATCTCCCCGCCTTCCTTTAGATTCGTTTCTTTCAGCCAGTCCCTTCCCCTGCGAAGGATAATGTCTGAGCCTCAGTGGTACAAAACCTTTGAAAAAAAATTGCTCTCTAGCCACTCGGCTCCGGCCTCCACGATAGGTGGCTGGCTGCCGTTTCTAGATTACGAATACCCGACGGTGAAGTCCTCCATCTCTGTGCCTCCATCTTCCGAGGAGATTGAGATTGTGGTCACACCTATTGATGCTCTCAACTTCTTCTGTGAGCAGCAGCTCCAAGCTCACAATGACCGGATCAAGATGAGGAGAGCCATGCGCAGTGCCGTGCCCAACACCATTGTCATGCAGCCTCCGGGAGTCGTGTTACCCACCTATCAGTGAGAAAGCACCCTGCTCCTTTGACTATCTTTGCATAGAGCCGCAGAATCGGAATGCTGTGGGCTAGTGGGGAGGGGATCTGAGGAATCACATAGCATCTCTAACCTCCCAACCCAGGCAGGAATCCTTCCATAGCACCTGTGACAGATACAGCTTCACCTTCGACCCCCCACTCCCCTCCAGTGACAAGGAATTCCCCATCTGATGAGGTAATCCGTACACTTGGGGAAGAGGAAGGAATGGGACCAAGCACTTATTAAGCACCTACTATATGCTGAGCTCTGTGCTAAGTGCTTTACAAATATTATCTCATTTGATCCTCATCACAAGCCTGGGAAGTAGGTGCTATCATTGTCCCCATTTTCCAGTTGAGGAAACTGACAGAGAGGTTAAGTGAATTGCCTAGGGTTGCACAACTAAGCAGGATTTGAACTCCGGTCTTCTTGATTCCTAGCCCTATCTGCACCATCTGTGTGCCTAGAGCTGTTTGGACGACTCCAATTGGGTTAGGAAGCTTTTCTCGACATCAATCTGAAATGTGATTTCCTATAACTTCCATCCGTTGCTCCTAGCTCTACTTTCTGGGGTCAAGAAAAGACACTTTCCACCCAACAACTTTTCAAATACTTAGAATGATTACATGCCCCCTAGGTGTTCTCTTCTCCAAGGTAAAGGAAACACTGTTATCTGTATCCAGGGACAGTTGGAGTCCCACAGTGACAGTGTTTATACCAGCTTGAGGGATCAAGTGACTGCTTGGCCTTGAGCTCTTTGGTGGCGTGGGTCACTAAGTCAAGTCAAAAACAGCAAGCATTTATCATTTATTATGTTCCAGGCACTGTGCTACGTGCTGCAGATGCAAAAACAACTAATGATAATAGTTAGCATTTATAGAGCTCTTTATAGAGCAAAGCACTTTACAAGTATTATCTCATTTAAACCTCACAACAACTCTGCAAGGTAGGTGCTAGTATTAACCTCCCTTTTACAATCGAGAAAACTTAGGCAGACAGAGGTTAAGTATCTCACTCAGAGTCACACAGCTAGTAAGTATCTGAGTATGGATTTGAATTCAGGTCCTCCTGACTCTGGGTCCACTGCTCTATCCATTGCATCATTTTGCTACCTAAAGAAAGTTAAAAATAGTTCTTGCCTTCAAGAAATTTGAATTCTAATTGGAGGACCAACATGTAAATGACTTGATACATACAAGATATATACAGAATAGAAAGAAGGTAATCTCAGAAGGGAAGGTACCAAAAGCTAGAGGGATTAGCAGAAGATGGGATTTAAGCTGAGTATTAAAAGAAGCCAGAGAAACCAAGAGGTAATGGGACAGAACCTTCCAGGCATAGAAGATGGCCAGTGTAAAGTCATAGAGGTTGGAGAGAGAGAGAGAGTCATGTTCAAGGAACATTAAGCAGTCTAGTGCAGCTGGATTGTAGAGAATATGAAGGTGAATAAAGTGTAAGAAGACTGGAAAGGTAGGAAGGGCTAGGTAATGAAGAGCTTTATATTTGATCCTGGAGGTAATAAGGAGCCACTGGAGCTCATTGAGAAGTGTGCTGATGCTTTAGGAAAATAACATTGGCAGCTGAGTGGTAGGTACTTTGGAGTGGGGGGAGACAAGGCAGAGAGAAAAGTTGGAAGGCTATTGCAGTAGTCCAGACAATTGGTGATAAGGTTCTGCACTGTTGTAGCTGTGTGAATGGAAAGAAGGGGATACATATACACACAGATACGTATGTGTGTATACACGCAAGTATATATGCATATATACCATATAGATACACACGTGTGTGTATATTTTTTTTCTTTAAAGGTTGAACAAACAAGATTTGGCAGTGGATTGGGTATGTGGGATGAATGAGATCTCTAATGTAAAGCCTACCTGCCAGTACACCCTTCATTCCAGCCCATTATCTATGGCAACATTTGGGGGGGCTGGCAATTGATCTCCACATTGACATTTCTTCCCCAGGCCAAAAATTTTCTGCTCCCTGCCAATCACTTGGAGGTACCTAGGGTTCTACAAATGTACATCTTAAACTTCATGATCTTCCATTTGGTCTATGGCTGGCACTTGTAAATCAGGGATTGTAGATTTTTTTTTTTTGGAATGAGATGTATATATAGATTGTTGCTTTGAGAAATCTCATATTTTTTAATGAGAGCACCTTTGAAGCTGCATTTTAAAAGTGATCACTTCTTTTGTAACATCATAAGTTAGCCTGATCACAGGTTAATATGGTCCTAACTCCTATGTGATTTGACCTTTCTTTACCAAGACCTGAGCTGGTTAATGGTATATTAACTATCATAAGCCTACATTCTCAAACCTGAACTTACTGGGGACCCGGGCCAACTGCCAGAAATTCCAAGTTCTGTATATTGTCTTGGTGCTTAAGGGATCCACATAACTGAGGTTCTATTGAGAAACTGAGTTCTGTCCTCCCTTCCTATTTGGCCAGGGATCCTCCTCAGATGCAGGCCAGGGGTCTTATATGAAGAGATGTGTTAATGACAAGCTTTGGTGACTGGTTGTATATGAGAGGTCAGTTAGAGTGACAAGTTGAGGATGACAATGAGGTAGTGAACCTGGGTGAGTTGGAGGGAAGTAATAGTTTAGAACAATTGAGAAGAAGGATTTAGGTTTTGGGGGTGGGGGAGAGAATGAATTCTGTTTTGGATATGTCAACTTTGAGGTGTCTACAGGACATCTAGTTGAAAATATATCTGAATAGGAGTGCACTCTAAAGTATATCTCAACCCAAGTCATCTAAGTCTCCACTGCAGCACCTTCAGTGATTTCCCATCACTCATTACCTATCAAAACAATCCATTCTTTTTATTTTAATTTTTTAAATTTTTAGATAGCTATAATTGTTAGGAAGTTTTTTTTTCTTACATTTAACTAAAATCTGCCGTTCTATGTCTTCTGCCCATTGTTCCTAGTTTTGCCAAATAAAGCAAGTCTAATCTCGTCTCCTCCTGGACATACAATGCCACTCTGACCTTGTCCTCTTTTGTCTGTCCTGTTCCTTTGGGACAAGGCCTACCTTACACTGTCATATTCTAGTCTTTAGCTGCATCTCTGCATATTCTAGCGATTCCTATATATGAGCCTCTCATAGCATACTCTCTGGGCTCACTCTTCTAACTTGCACTGGACTGGAAGTTTGGGTTACCAGAGGATGGCTGGCTACTTCTCATTTCAGGATTCTAAAGATAATCTGGAGAGGTTGTGACTTCTAATACTGTCACTCACAAGTTTCCATCTGGTGTGCTTACCCTCCCTCCAATAGAATGATAATAGTTGATTGTTTGGTTGATTGGTTGTTCTTCCTTCTTGAAGAAGACCAAAATGACATCACTAGGTTGGAATCAAGGTACAGTGTATCCATCTGTGGCTGATCAGACCAATATGAGGTCGGAAAGCTGTACCACAGGTCAGGCACAGATAATCTGCATGAACATCTGGATTGGCGATGTCTCTAAATTTGCCTTATCTCACATTTCTTTTGAACTACTGCAATTCTGCTTCACTCATAGAGCACAACTCCATCTTTGATGTGGGCACACCATGCTGGGATGTCCTTTGCCAGTGTCTTCCATGTCGTGATGATAATGATAATATGATGATGGTTCAATGAACCATTATGAATAATGGGCAAGAAGGTCTGGGGGAGGTTAGAAGTATAATAGATACCTTAGGTTTTCCCGTGTCTTCACCTTTCTTCCTACATTTTCTGGGCACACTAAATAATAATCTGTCTTCCCTTCTGCAAACCACACAGTGTTTACTGTACTTGGTGCTAAAATATCTATGGGCACCCATTTATCACCCCCTGGGTGTCTACACCAAACTTTACTACCTTATTCTAATTGTGGGAGTTCCAAATAGGTGGACGAGGCAAACAGAACCCTCCTGTGACCTTGCTGGGGAAGGCCTATGTGTGGGCACAGGGAAAATGGAAGGTAGTATGGTGACCTGAGAAAGTTGTCTCCTTCCTGGGATCCAGGTACCTTTGTGATGCTTTGTTCTTGCTCCCATTCCTGGGTAAACGCAGCACAAAATGAGGTTCCATAGTCAGTGGAGATATGGATATCCAAACCTCCAGCAGAGGTCAGTCTTGAGGAATTGAACAATGACTTTTGCTTGTCCTTATGAGATGTAGTCAATTCAGTACAGTGGAGGTGTGGTATCTCCAGTCATAGGACTACAAACAGGCTCCCTGTAAGTCTCTCAATCTCTACTAGAGCCCAGTAGCAAACTAAGAGCTGCTTTTTACAAGGTGTATAGTTTGGCATAGCCCCTGTTAGCATGCAAGACCAGAATTCCTGGGACCTTCATATGCCTTATGGTCTCAAGCAAGTCATTGATGACTGACTCGTGTAATTCAGCATAGTCCTGGGCATGAACACATCCCAGCAGGAGGGCTTGTTTAGCTGCCTCTTGGACCTATTTCAAGGCCATGTTGCTGTTCAGGTCTCCAGAAAAATATTACTTGCTTGACTGCAGCAGACACTGGATACAGATTTGAGCAAAAGGCCAAGGTGAGAAATGCGGTACTGCCACAAACCATATTCCTATCAATTTAGGAATATCTTTTTTTTTCCCCTGGGGGAGGCTATAGTAAACTGTTTGTCTTTTGCCTGCTTCGCGGTATGTGCCACTCAACTCCACTGAGCCCTCAGAAGGGCCCTGCTTGGCAGAGTTGGTGGATTTTATCAGGGTCATTAGCCCTGCAAAGCCCAGCCCAGCCATCTGCTTTCAAAGTTTTTTTTTAAGAGGTCAGTTTTTACTTCTCCTCTTTTTCCAACTGGATGATCAGCATAATGTCAACTATGAAATGCAAGGCTGTAACCCCAAGAATGCAAGAGACCTTGGACACCATCCACTTTACCCACAGCCGTTCAAGTATAGGACGGAGAAAGTGTACTGCCTTCCCCCCTTCCCAAATGAAAGTAAATTGGTCCTTGTCCTCTCTGAGAGCACAGAAAAGAATGTGTTTGCAGACGAGACTATCACAAAGAGAATCCTTCCTCCAGTTCACTGAATTTTTAAAGGTACCCGAGACTCCAGGGGGAGGAGTCCTTGGACCTGGACCCCGCCCCTAATCTAAAGTCAAGTCTTTGAAGTGAGTCAAGTCGGGTTCTACGTTGCCTTGGAAGGTTCTAGGGGGCAGTGAGGAGGATGGGATG